TGTGGCAGTTTAGGGAGCCTATAGTTTAAGGGGTTGTAGGGTTTGATGAGAAAATCAGAAAAGATGTACTTGGCTATGATGGAATGGAGATAGTTGATATATAGGGGGAGATGTAAATTCTTGTAACTTTGATAGAACTATTTCAGATCTATAGGAGATAAGACCTGGTTTTGAAATAAGGAAATTATCATAGAATGCGTGAATGCTTATTGGCAGATAGAACTAATCACATATAGGAATTCAACTTTAATAAACTCAGAGTAATCTATTTAAGTCGCTTGCTTTACAGATTTAGCATAAAAGTATTTTAACAGTTGAAAAATGACAACATCTAATAGTTGTAATAAATGAGTAGTATGTTATTGGAGTCAGAATGGGATAATCTGTTTCTGATCACAATAGTCTATAAACTCCTTAGTGTAATGTGATCTATATTCATCTAGCAACAAAAGCCTAAAAGCTGCGACTTGTTGTATTAATGAAAAGTTATTGAAAAGGTACATCCAAGTAAGAGAAAGCCAGTCATTGGAGTAGCCAGTATCCAAAACACAAAGGAGGAAATTCTCATCAATTTCGATCTTCTTATACCAATCATCAAGATATAGAATGCCTGATATAATAAGCATTAGTAGTAACACTTCTCCATCTAGGCTAATAACCTCACAAGATGCTACAAGTTCTCTATTACTTATACTTGCGAGATAGAATTGCCTATCAGGATTCAGCATAACAATTCACTGATCCTTCCCATTTCCAATATGGAATACTGTCTCGTCAAAGTTATATATATCAGAGGGCAGTATCTACTCTTATCACATGTAGACTTATATACTTCTCAAACTAGTCCAACAGATTACTTGAGTTGTGTGCCTTTTTCCTGTTACAGTCAAGTGACTTTTGCTTCCAAATATGGAACTCTGGGTATCATTCTAAGAAGCATGGAGTCCATGTGGGCCCAACAGTCGGCAGTGCTTCATTTTATGTACTTGGGATATGATTTCGTTTCAGAATCGCATTGGTGCAACTCATCACTATGAACAGGCATGCCACTATTCCTATACTATCAAGCCTTTTCAAATATAGGCAGACAGCTAATTCCTCTGCTTCAGAAAGGTACTTGTCCAAAGCTGGCCACTGTGACCTAGATGGACATCCACCAGCTCATGCATGTAAACGACCTTCTGGCACTAAAAACTCGTGTGCAATAGTGGTAATATTGGGTTTTTCAAGACTAGAAAGATTAGAAAGGGCATCTTCAATTCTTATCGACATCTTTGATGCTTGTGAGTGCGGCAAATTGGATTTGAAAGCTTCAGTTTATGAAAATCTTCTGTTGAGCTGGTTTCTGTTGAGCTGTTAGGCACGCCGTGGGCGTGCTGCAAGATTTTGGAACTGCGCGCTGTTACATAATCGGCAGGAACCTTGGCACGGGTTGACACGGTCCAGCTGCTTGGGGGGGCGCGGGAACTGCCGAAGTGCAGAAATTAAATACCGTACTCGTCGAGCAGTTGCATCAACTGCCACACTCCTTTTAGGGAGCCAATGGTTAAAACATGCGGGGTGCTTACTCGAGTAGTCCTTTGCATGAAACCATCTCGATTCTGTACGAGGACTTGAGGATGAGTTCAGAATGGTAGACCTCACCTTCCTTTTCCCACGTGATTGCTTTCATTTCCTGCCCGATACCGTGTCATACTGTAGCGCAGCAATCTCCGGGGTCTGGGGAAATCGTCAGGCACCCCTATTCTTTCCTGCAATGCGGCCTCCGCCACACTGCTATTCGCTGCGCAAATTGTGGGGTTATGCCTCTGGTGTGACCGACCGCTGCCTGGAGCATATATCGTGGGAACTCGGATAGAAAAAGGTGCTGGGACGTTGGAATTCCCCTTTCTCGGCAAGGCGGGGGGGGAAAACACCTCAAAACTCAGCCCTCACCTGAGACATGACAAAAGGAATATAGACTATCGTACTTTAGACAGCAGCTTACTAGGAGAGGCAACTACAACGTCCTGGCACATTTCTCTTCTGCCGGTATTAGGGTTTCGGTTTCTTCACGGCATTTAATCTCTACTGTCGAGTGCTATAATTCGTCGAATGCACCTTTTCCTCCTCGGCCATTCCCCTCGGGTGGATTGGCCTATCATTGAAATGGGGCGCATCTGGGAACCATTACACTCACTGGTCATTGTTACAGGGGCTTACTTTTTTTTTTTTTTGCAATCGTTTCCTTTTTCTTGACTAACTTGGACCCTCATCACTCGTATTCTCCACCGCCTCTCATACATACGTGCATACCAATGGACTGCACACCAGCCGATCCGGCGAGATATATATATATAAAAGCTGGCAAATATCAAGACTTCACCGCAATAGCCATCAAAAGCAGCTGCATCGCAGTACGGCACAGAGCCCGGCGCAACGCCATACATTAAACCTAGACTGGCGATTTTTTCGTTTTTTCTTTTCATCAAGGGAAAACTCTTCACCATGATATATACCGCCCTATTATTATTATCATCGGAAGCCCCCATTTGACATTATAAAAGCGGCGTCTTTTTCCGACCTTTACGATATCCTTTTTTTATTGGGTGACGCGCCAGGCGGGGCGTTATTATTATCATTGTTGTTGTTTTTATATCTTTTTCTTTTTCTTTTCCTTTCCTTTCCTTTTCTTCTTCTTTTCTTTCCTCTTTCCTTCCGATCTTACCCCACTCCCGTGCTCACGGTCGGTGATTTCGTACTTTGTCGTGCGCCCTGTTCGAGGTCGGCGCCAGAAAGACATGGGTATCATGGTTTGGCGTTATATACCAAAAAAAATGAGCAACTTTAAATTTACTACGAGTACTCGTATAGAGATCTCCTTGGTCACTTTGGAAATTAAAATTGGATAAGCCTTTTAGAACCATGTGGAGTCTGTTCTGGTAAGAAGGAGTCAGGCTCTACTACTCGTAGTAGGTTCTGAGAGCGAGGTGTCAGGAGCATCGGTGTGCTCGAATCTGATATTGGCCTTATAGAAAAAGCACTTTGCAACATCCCATAGAAAAAAACAAACCTTTAGTTATCAATGCTCACGTGAGTGCTGCAGACATCACCCAATATTTTTACTGAACGGACCTCAGCAGTTGCGAAGCTGACAACAACGCTACATTGATAGATTCCATAAGTGTCTTCGGACGAGCTGTAGTCTAAGTCATTAAAGTTGCGCATTCGCGAAACGCGAGCTCCTCACGAGTTTATGTGCCAGGATCGCTCATCGCTCGTCACTCGCGAAGTCAGAACCTGGATTGGGGGACCGGACCGGCATATCAATTCCAGGTGCAGTAGGCTAGACGTGATCTTCTAGTGAAATTGCGTCAGAGAAACTAGAGTGCCTTGACTCGCCTACGTGTGTACTAGTATATCATATCGATGGGTGATTAAACGTCGAAATGACAACTTATTGCGCCTTTGGCCCGCGGGATTGGGCACCCCCCCTCGCCGTACCATCCGCCGCGAGTGGGGGTTGAGTCGAGTGGAGCGGGCGCAGACGCGTGTAGACTACATAGTGGTCTAAAGCAGGTTAATCGCCGGGTGGGGATAATCCCTCCATCAATGCATTGACCCGTCTACTCAGGATGTTCTCCCGTTATCGTCGACAACCTCCTCCTCCTCCTCCCCCACCAACCAGCTTAGTCTAGTCTAGTCTAGTCTAGTATTAACTTCTACTCGAGTCCCGCCCCCACCCTAGACTATCCCTTACTCTATTCTGTAGACCTCCCATCCTTTTAGCGCGGTCAATGGCTGTGGGAGCTCTCGCCGTGCGGTGGCAAAGTGACATGGGATCTACCGACGCACACGATTCCCACACCCGAACCATCCCAAACCTCGGCATATTCTGGCACCCTGGGGGGTGCGAGGGGATCTACCGGTAGGCTATTTGTTGATCATAGTCCATCATATCATATCATACCTCTTTTGTTTATTTGCATGTGCTGGCCGGCACATGTGGTCTGACTTCTTGATCGGTCGATAGGGCATGGAAGAGTTCGTTGGTTGGGAGTCCTATCATTTTGGAACAGCTCTGGGAGGAGGAGGAAGGGCTCTGGGTGTGAGGCGACGGTGCTGTAGACCATCGTACTTGTTGTAATGCCGCTCTGGGCCAACCGGATTGCAAAGGAGTGACTCCGGAGGCGAAATCGTGAGGCCATTATCCATCGGATTCGTGTCGCACCGCAGTGCTGCCTTTGTGCTCTGCAAAAACAAACACAATACGAGTGGTCTATCATACCTCTTGGCCTACCTGAGTACCGGTGCTGTGCTTGCTTGGTCTACCGATCTTTTTTCCTTTTTTCTTTTCTTTTCTTCCTTTCTTTTTCTTTTCTTTTCTTCCTTTCTTTTTCTTTTTTTTCTTTTTTTGTTTCTCCGCGGTCCCTGTTTGCCGTTTCCCGGTGTGGGATTCTCACCTCCCTGAAGTTAATCTAATTCGGTTAGGAGTTACCTCTGAACTTTATTTTTTTCTTCTCACTCTTTTCTGCATGCCCCAGATACCGGCATTGGAGAGATGTATGATAGTTGAGGGTATGGCATAATACTCGTACACGGTGGCTGCATGGGGGCTGGGGAAGAGGGTTGCTGATTTCATTAAGTGGCGAGTGATATTATGTGATGATATATGGACTGGGTGGTGTTGATATTTTTTTCTTCTTTCTTCTCTACATTCTCTACTGTGCCGTTGGGCTTTATTAAGGTCGGATTTTCTTCTGATATGGTATTATGAAATAACGTGACTGAGTAGGGGGGGAGGGGTGCTGTGCTATGATGGAAGGAGGTGCAGGATGTTCACTATGTATACTGACCTGTTCTAGGGCTTGGGGAAGACTCTTAGTTAAAAACGTTTGCTAATAATTACTACTCGTATAGTAATGGCAACAGCAGGCAGTACTCGTAGATGAGTGATGGCCATAGAGAAAGGGGGAAAGATATTCAACGAATTGAAAACTCCGGGGATTTTTAGAAAGTCAATGGGTTTGAAGTGTATTAGGTATGTTTACTTCTGAAATTTAGAACTTTCCTTTGAGGGTCTCACGGCTCGTGATTCTAGTTCAACTTTTGTAGGAACCCCTGGGCAATCAGTCTTTCGACGTCACCTTGTCGAACAAAAAATTGACTATTCTTCGTAAGGGTAATAGCACTAGTGTTACCGTTAGTACGATTTTCACCAGTAAAAAGGACAAGATCTCCTCACCCGTATTCTGTCTGTATCTCCCCGGCATCCTTAAGAACTCTAACATCGATGAACAGGTCTCTCGGCGGTTCCAACGACCCGGTGAGGTCAATATCTGTCCACTGTCCCTTATACGCGGCAAGCAAATCCCCGTACTGTCTGGCATACTCCTCCTCTTCAGGGCTAAGTGAGCTGGCACCCGAACCCTCAGCCGACCCAATTCCCGCCCCTCCCTCGGCTACCTTATTCTGGCTTGCCTGAACCTGCTCGAGTAGGTCGCTGCCACTCCAGCACATTTCTTCGATCGCCTCCACCCGAACACGATGGTACGCGAGCAAGCATCGCTTATTCCTTCGCATGCAAAGATGGTGGACGAGAAGACTACAGGCGGTGGCTGGCTCCTCGGCCGGATCGAAGTGACCATTGAATGGTTCGAGTATTTCCGTAACGTCGCGGTCTAGATCACGTACTTCGCGGGTTACGCTGCGCACAATGTCGCTCTGGTAGGGTGGGAGCTGAGGGAGGGATTGTGTGCGTTTTGCATGTTGGACCTGGCGAAGCGATTGAGGTCAGTTTGAGAGGATAATTTGGTTTGGTAATTGTGGGGGGAAGGAGAGAGCAGGGTGTGGTGGAGGGGGGGAGGCTTTGGAGACAAACGAGCTTCAATCCGAGGTCACCGTACATGATTTAGTACTTGTAGCGCGGGTGCGGGGAGAGGTGTGGTGTTTGTGGTGGTGGTGGTGGTGTTGTGAGGTGAATTGAACTCAAATGAGTTGTGGTGGTGGTGTCTCTCTCAGGGTTTCTTTCAAATCCTGGTCAAAGTTGTGGAGTTGTGATGGGGTGTGGGGTGTAGGAGGTTTAGCAACAGATTTATCGATCTGCCGCTTGTCTAACCCAACCCGTCTGTCGTGTGCAACCAATTCCTTGCCCTTGACCTGTGTGCTCTCTGTTGCTTTTATCATAACAATCCTGGAGTACGGAGCATACTAGGATACCAAGGCCCGCCAAGCAGTTCTGGAACGGTTATTTAAGGTTAACCGACCAAATATATCCCTATCTGCTCAAGTTAATGGTTTCCTACCCTTGTACTGCAGACTGGGCCTCTCATTATTAGCCACAATGGATTTCCTTCCATAACACTGGATGGAGCCCCTTAGCCCCTCTATTCTGAGACCGGGCATGGTCCAATCTACTTTGCTTGGACATCTCACCAGCCCTCACCAACTTCATGCAAAGTTACATACTGGTAATGTCGTAAATGCGAGGTGACATTCTTTCGATCTCTGCGACTTCCCAGCGCTTTCAGCAGTTCAGCAATGCACCATCCATGGGGGGGGAGCCCGCCAGGTCTTACCGATGCAGAATTTCATGGGCATTGAAGGCGGTACCCACCCTCGGCATACTTCGTACGGTAATCCGACGGGCTTCGAGACCATGCTTCCAGCTCTTATGATGCATTCTATCCGAACTATGATCACTGATCAGATCAGAAGTCTGCAAGCTTCCGCTCTCTCAAGGCCGAATAAGTTGTTGGCTAGGGGAGCACGTCTCGGACACCTACCTAATGCACAAGGTCATGGAGTATCATCAATGGATACTCGCAGAGCAGCTAGGCTGTCTGTGGACCATGGTTCTTATAGTTAGCATCTACAATTTCCCACATTTGAGGAGGGAGAGTTTCGGCATGAAATGCTAATTCATTGGTGATTAAACTACAGTACAGTAGAGACTAAGAACTAATGAAAGAGGCAACACCGGACCCTGCGCCGCCCTCTGCTAATAGCTGAAAAATACCGTACAATTGCAGATGCAACACCAAAGCGTAAGGAAGGTATGTACTCGAGGTAATGATAGGCCCTTTCCGGAAAAGAGCTGGTTAATCATTCATGGAGAAAACGAGGCGTGAAACAGCGGGATAAAACACGTGGGTGTCAAAAAAAACAAAAACAAAACGCCTCTAACCCAGGAAAAATAGAAAAATAGACATGGGACTTAACTAGAACGAAATTCCTCTTCTTATTTCTTTTTTACCATTCAAATTTTCTGACATCAGGAAAAGGGATGGGATAGAAATGCAATCAGCTACCGGTGTCTTCTCCTCGGCCTCCTTTTTCTTTTATTTGGGCAGATAGGCTTCTTGAAGCCAATCGTCATAATGGAGTTGGTCGCGGTCTTCCATCATGGCGTCTCCGTTTCTGTTCCAACTTTCTTGGCTGTCTAGAAAGCCTTGTATGGATTGATCGTACGCTTGCATCTTGCGTAAGTCAATGGTGTGGCTGCCTCGCTCAAGTTGGGCCATAGGGTCTTGCTGTGATTCGTCGTCGGCAAACGAGATATGAGGAATATTGGCGGTTGCAAACAAGCTGTCTATTTCAAATTGACCATCAAAGATCCCTCCGTCGATGAACTGGCCAGCATGGTCTGGTTGGACGTTTTGATGCTGGCTACCGTTCATACAAAGATCTGATGTGGACCCGGTGGCTAATAGTGCGGGATCGACCTTTGAATTATCTTGGTTCTCGAGGGTCGACGCGAGAAAGTTGTCAATCTGGTCCGCTTGATACAGCGCATGTTGGCAATAATTCGTGTTCATCGTTCCCATCGGAGCTTGGGTTTTTCGAATCGTCACGTCCTCAATCACACTTGGGTGCATAGAGCTCGGGATGGTGGCCGGGCTTGCACGAACAGTGGTTTGGTAATACTGGCCGCTCAAGTGCATATCAGTATTCGCCATACACATTGGCGGAGTTTTTCCTGGGTTGTTATGAATAAATGATGACCTCTGGGCCCCGCCCTCGGTGTGGTCGTAACAAAGGCCTATAAAGCCGTTGATGGAGACTCCCCTATTCTGGCTGGAGCCTTTGGGGGACTTTTTATTGCCTCGTGCTGTCTTCTTCGCACCCCGAGCCCCCCCCAAGCTACCAACATAGTCGCCATCATCATCCGGAAAACCTTCAAGCTCACTGGCCTCCGATTCCTCTGGTCCCCTCACCTCCTTCTTCTTCTTCCCATTTTGCGTTTTGCTGGGACAGAATTTATATCCCGGGTGAGCCGCTTGGTGGTTGATACGCTCAATTTTTGCGAGTTCGTTGTACTTATCCCGGATTGCAAGGGGCTCCAGGGGCCAGCTCTCGCCGCTAACGGAGGACACTACTTGGTGATTGTTTTGGAGGCACCAAAATTTCGTCCTATCGGCGTACGCCGATCGATAAAGCATGAAGGAGTTCATCGGACGAGTGACGTATCCGCCACGCTTTTCTACCTCTTGCTTCCGAGTTTCGACACTTCGCCGGACCCATGACTCCATATCCTTGACCGGAATGTGGTCATAGCTCGTGGTGAGCTCACTTAGCGGCATCGTCAACTTTGGCACTTTGGGTTTTTCGGACTTTTCGGTGCTTGGCTTGCGTTTTCTAGTGGGCCTCTTGGCTCCGGTGTGCGTTGCAGGTTCACCGCCTGTGCCATTTTTGGTCGCGGTAGCTGTCCTGTGGTTGGTCACCGCTGCTGCATCTGAGGCGTTCCGGGCGGATCTTCTGGGGAGCACCGGGGTTGGGACTGGCTCTTGAAAACTCATGTACTAGAAACTGTCAGGAAGTGTGTTATGTCAGATTGGAGGTGGTTACTTGCTGGGCCTTCGAGCCTAGTGAGGCGTGCTTCAGTATTCTGATACCCTGACTGGTCCATAAAGGTTAGTTAGGGTTTGATACGGTACGAGTGAGGTAGGTTTACGAAGTCATTGTAACCGTCATCGCTCATTGCATATTCCGGATGCTGTGCTTGACGTTAGTTAGGGTGCAGACACAACTTTTGAAAGCATTACTTACCAAAAAATCCATGTCGGTGCGTCCAGAGGTGTCTGAGGTAGGTGTAATTTGTTCCTATTAGGGTAGCAATTAGAGCTATCCGGGTGGGTGGGTGAGGGGGGGTACACACGTTGGACTGATATTTACCTCCGTACCTAGCTAGGTCGCGGTAATCCGGAGTACTGTATGGTGGCTGGCCTGGTGGGAAATAGCCCGACTGGCCAAGTTGGTGGTCTTGGAATGCGGGTGTTGAGGGTGCGAAGTATGATTGCTGACCAGAAGACAGGCAAGGCGTGTCAAAGTCTAAACCCAAGGAGTGGAAGTTGTATGCTGCACTAGAGGAATTAGGCATTCGCTGAAGAGCGAATTGTCCCTCAATATTGCTGTGCGATAGTACTGGTGACTGGGGAGCCTTTACTGTGGCCGTCATCAGAAATGAGGAGGATGCTCGTGCGTCGACGCAGCTCGAGGTCTCAAAGCCTTGAAGTGAGAGTGAGTGAGTGGGTGGGTGGGTGGGTGAGTGTGAGTGAGTGTGAGTGATGGTGTTTTTTTTCTTCTTCCGAAGTTCTAGAGAACAAAAAGTCGATAAGGTCTGTCGGTGATCAAGAGGCAAGTGCTGGAATTGTGCAAGACAAGATGGAAGGTGAAGAAAGACTGAACGAACCCAGGATGGGCGGCGTTTTATGAGGACAGTGCGGCGGGAAGCTACACGAAGGGAGCGGCACTCAGCAATACATTCAGACGGGTCTGGGAGGCGCTAAGGTATACTACACCTCTTTGTCGCCAGGGAACTCTGCTCACACAGCGTGGGGTTGGACGTAGTGGTAACCGGGGATAGGTTTGCTGAAGGTATCCTTCCGCCTGCGCTGAGGGGGGGGATCAGATCTTGAAACGGTAGAGATGTTCAAGAGCTCTCAGAAGTTGATTTTTCTTCTTCCTCCTTTCGGACTCTCTCGAGAGTTAGAAAACGAGGGCAAGAAAGGGATTGTTCTTGTTCATCCGAACCTGGTTGGCTAAGATGAGGGGTGCGAGTATAGATTTAGTTATATGGCGGGACACAAGCGACAAGCTTCGATCCCGACTGTCGTGCCCTTTGGGTCAACGATGAAAGGTGTGTACGTGAGAGAGAGAGGCCCAAGGGAAGCGTCCTAGGCGGCCTCTTCACATAGGGATAATTCGTGAAGCTGAAGCTTGGGAGTTTGGGGTAGCGGCAGGGTGCAAGAGACAGTTGCTTCAGGCGATGTTGCAGATTGGCAGCGACAGTGCGTGTGATGGGCAAACATACAGATGCCAATTTCTCGAGAAGCGCGCGCACAATAACATCTAGTACTCTTTGTTCGTGCGTGGCGGCAACAACAGATACTAGAAGAGCAGGGACGACGATTTCCTTTGTTCATAAGCATAGGAAGTGACGGGCGACGCATGAGAAGTTCAGATATATGTAGTTTTCTTGCCCTCCATATGAAAGGGTCCCACAAGTCGGCGCATTCTATCATATCCAGCGTTGGATGGAGTAAGAGGAGAGGAAGCAGAAGAAATAAAAAGCAAAAGTGTGGGCGATTTGAATTACGTTCAACCAGTTCTTGCTATGCGTACGGTAGAGCGGTAGAGGAAAAAAGGCTTTTGGGCCCGAACGGGGTGTATTCTCTAATCACTACTGGTTGAGATGGGAGAGAGAGAACGCTTTTGGAAAGGCATGGCTGGTGTGAACGACGCTATGGGCCACAATTTTGATCCGGGGCAATGGCTTCGTTACTAGATTCCTAAAATCTGTGCTGTACAAACTTTCCAATATCTTTTATCGGTGGTGGGATGGATTGGGACCAGAAGGTCGGAGAGCTATTAGACTACTACGGTGTAACTTACTCGCGGTTGCGAGGGTGTGCGTGTGTGATATTTTGTGAGCGAATCTTCGAATGAATAGGTACGATATCTAGTGCAAGAGTCTATCGTTCTTTCCCCTCCCCCTCCCCCTCTTGCTCCTTCTACTCCTCACAGTGAGTACGATAGTATCGTTTCCTTTCCTGGGCTTCCCCTCCCTGCCCGCTCGCCAATTCAATTGAAGCAAACAGAAGCGAGCTCCGTGACCTAGCCCATTCCACCAACCATCCAATCATCACCACATAAATAGCCCTAGAGCACTACGGAAATCACGACCTGCCTAGCCTAGCCTAGTTTCAGACCTCCCATCCATCCACCCATCCATCTATCCCATCCCATCCCTAATCCATACCATCACGGTAAATTCCCCCTCTCCAAGAAGTCCCACCACCACCACCACCACCCCTTCCTTCCCTCTCTTCCACCCTTTCCATCCATCCTTCCATACATATGGGACAAGCACGTACTGAAGGGGTACAGTACCCATCCTATACTACATACATGAACGACCCAAGCCCCCTCCTCCAACTCCATCCAGTAATCCGCTGGCCAGCGACATATAGCAAACCATGGTACCACTCCCGTTAGCTACTGTAATCTTCCTTTCCTCACTTTACTTCCCACTAGTACGTACACGCACAGGGAGGGAGAGAGATACATGCATAGCTTCCCACTTCATAACTTTCCTGAACGCATAGAACCCACTTCAAACGGTTCACCTTCCAACTTCTCTTACAACGGTGTATGATACTCTGTCTTTTTTTTTTTTTTTTTACCCTTCGCATGCGGATATCCGCTTTGTTGCTAAAAGCTTGCTTGCTTGCTTGCTACTTGATTGAGAAATGTGTGTGTGTGTGTGTGTCACAGTGTGTGTGTGTGGTACGTGCGTGAGAGGGGAGAAGAAACAACCCCCAACCTCCGGAATACTCAATTTACCTCCTCCGATGTAAGTTTCCGTACCAGAGTTATGTGCGGGTGCCTGCATTTTTGAAGCGTGAAATTTTTAATTTTTAATTCTTTTTTACTATGATAATATGATGACTCCTTTCTTTCTTTCTTCCTTTCGCCGGTTGGGTATTTGGTCCTGAAGTTATCATAGTTCCAGATGTAAATGACTACAGTGATATGTATCTACCTGCATTAGTACAGCACAGTACCTGAGCACCTACTAGCTAACCAACCAACCTACAGGAAAATGGCTAATAGTCCAACGGGCCGCTACCAGCGCTTTAATAGCTGGACATTTCTGTTCCTGGAATTTAGCTTAGTTTAGCATAGTTTAGTCTTTTCTTTTTATTCTCTCTTTTTTTTTCTTTTCTTGTTTCTACCCCCCCCCCCCTCCCCTTCCGTGCAAAAAAAAATTTAATTTTTTTTTAGACTATCATACCCGTCACCGGTTTTTTCCCATTTCCGGGGTGGGTATGATAGGTTTTTTTTTGAAGCCAAGATATTAAAGTTCGTTGCTCATGACGTATCACTCGCTAATACCGGTGCCAAGTCTTCTTTCGCTTCTTGCCAAGAAGATGGGGATGGGAGCTGCCCGCTTCGGTTTCTCTCTCTCGTGCTTAGTTTCTGGATTTGGAAGAAGTTCGCATAGAGAGGGAGGATGGTGGGTGTATTATTGGGTTTTTTTCCTCATCTGTTTTGATTTTGGTGAGGTTTTTTTCTTTTCTTCTTTTTCTTTTTCGGGGGGGGGGTGGAGGAGGGAGCGAAGGGGTTGTTTACTCGAGTATGGAGGAGGTGTGATCTTCCGTGCCTGAACGACTCCAGGTATCGTAGATCGCCAGGATTGGACGGGGTGTCGATTGTAACCAGTTGTGGGTTGGCTATCTAGGGTGTGATATGATATGATATCTCACTGTAGCTCGATAGTCTACCCCACCCGAGCCCTTGTGACGAGGTCTCGTACAATACGGTAGTTGGGCTAGTTGAATTAGTTTTCTAATCAGTTATCATACATAGCTAATTATTTATTTAGGAAGGCTAATGGCCTAGCTACGGGATGGAAATCCCCTATTCCCTCCCTTCCCTCCCTCCCACCCTCCCCTCCCCTCCCCTTCCCTGCTAGACTTCCTCAGACGGGTCTAGGTCCTCACCAATTGAGAGTTGAGCACCGCAACTCTAGCAACAGGGGCAAAAGCACAAGGGCGAGTGAATGAGTGAGCGAATGAGAGAAAGTGATACTTCCCAGTAGTCTTGTTTTGAAATTCACCGTGAGTGGTAAGGCGTTAGTAGGTGGGTATGGAATGGCGGGAGCCTTGTAAAATTCCCATTCCTGTCTGCCGACTCGTACTGTAGAGCTATCGTTTATCCGTGTGGGCCAAGAGTGAGCGATACGCAACTGACGGCCTTGCGGGCCCGCCCCGCCTGAAAAGATAGACGAACGAACTTGGTGCTCGAGCACATACCAGTATTCTATCACTCGAAGCGGGCAGGAAAGAAGCATGACACCTGAAAACAGGGACCCACAAATAATATGGCGAAAAATGCGTGCGTACTCTATCTGAGCGTCCGTGTATGGACTATTCTCTCCTGCCGGCAGTTTCCTGTTACTTGCAGGCGAGAGCATGGGAGGGACCCCTAGCATAGATGGTATGGCAACGTGCCGTTTGATGTGAGGGGGGATCACCACACCACAACCACTACCGACCAACCATACGCTGAAACATTTCGTGAATGTTCAACTCGGTGGGTTAGTGTGAACTTAATCCCCCCGCCATACAAGGTAATACCGGTAGCACAGTGAATGATATGATCCCGGTACTCGTACTCTACTCGAGTAGACTACTTGCCATTCCAATTCCGGATAGCGTCGCTAGGAAGTACTTAATCGGAGTATGTGTTTTTGAATCATTCAGTCTGTTGGTGGTCTACGGCACCGTCCTGTGCACTGTGTGGTTGAATAGGGGAGGGCGACTAGTCTACCCTCTCTGTCTCTCTCTCCCTCTCGCGGCCGTGAGAGGGAGAGAGAGAACACTGGTCCATTCACCATACCCAACAGTAACTGCCACCCAGTTAACTGACCAGCCAACTAGCCCAGATAACCATCCACCCCCAACTCCTCCAAAGAAGCCTACCGGATCATACGCACCACCTCAAAAAAACGGAGAAATCGAAAACCAAACTCTAAAAAGACGACGAGGCAGCCAGCGAGCAAGCGGCACCGGAGTCTAGAGCATGTTCTACAACATGGAGACGGCCGCCTGATCGGACGAGAAGGGGTGTTGGACACAATAATCGCCGTTTGCCCTTGTCCTCCAATCTCCCCAGTTGCAACCCCCGCTTTGGAGAGGGGAGTAAGGAAGGAAGGGGGGGTGGGAGAAATAAATAAGCTTTTCCACACAGCTGGAGGAAGACCATGACCGGCCCCGGTACCAGGAGAAGCCCTACCGCGATTCTCAAGCTCGCCAGCAACTGTGCCAGAAACGCTCACGTCTTCTTCGCGAACCCCACTACTCACCAGACCGCCGGCACCGTCGCTCATGCCTGTTCCCGCTTGCTTACGTCTCCTGCCCCCCCACCGTCACAATAGCGGCGTGGGCTCTCAACTGAATCAATTATCCTGAGAGCGGATGCTACTGGTACGACATCGTACCAAATCCGGATACCAAGGAAACCTCGCGGGCCACGTCTCGAGCTGTGCCCATTGAAATTTGTGTAGGTTCTCACCTCCCTCAGGAGGAGTGCCCACAAGTAACTGCCGGTCGGGAATCGATTCGGTTTGAGGAAGGATTTTATTCGAGGTCGGTGAGGCTGGTTTTGTCGGGGGGTTGTCATTGCTGGAGGGAGGGGAGGGTATACCGGAGTTCCATTTGCACCACTAGAATTTGCCATGGTTGGGATATGCTGCTGCCGGTAGTTGACTGCTTATCTCTGGGACAAGCGTGACAGGGGAATTGTCTTGGGGAGCTCTTATGAGAGAATTAGGGGATGGTAATCAGCCAGGCAGTGTTCGTTGTGTGTGGTTTTATGGGTGCGGGGGGCTAGAGAAGGGTATGGTACAGGAGAGTACGATAGTTAAAAGCCGGTGGTAGTGGTGGAGTTACCTGCTTTGTGTAGCGAGTGATGGGTTGGGTATTCGTGAAACATGAGACACCATGACTGTTGAGATACATACCGTCTGGGTAATAATAGTAGTTCGATTATCTGGTTGTAGAACTTGGAGCGGTTAAGATAACAAACCCTGCTATACTCTTGTCTTTTCCCAGATTCTTTTAAAGTAATAGAGCAGACGTAACTAAGTTACACACACCTTCAGGCAACACGGGTGCCTATGAAATAGGTCTACAATAAATAACTGCCATGTCTCCATCCGAGAAAGATATGAATAAAATCTCCCCACGCTATCCTATTAGCTCCATATCTATTCGTCGTCTGAATCATCATCCGAATCTCCAAAGATTGCCTTAAAAACTTCCTCCCCAGCCCTCTCCCCTTCCAGAGCCTCATTCCTCCCAGTATCCACAGTCGGCACAATAGGTTTCTGCTCCACCCCCGGGAGCTCATACTTATCGTCGCCTTTCACCTCCCTCATCATATTCGTAATTTGAGCCTGGGCAGCTAGCTCTCTCGAGGGACCAGGCTTATTCTCCGGGCCGGTAGACCTCTCCATAGCCCTGGCCGGCGCGTTAGAATAATTGGGTGGTGGGACGTTGAACCGTTTGCATAGCAGCCTTGATGGGTAGAAGTCTATAACAGACCGGGTTAACGGGCCATACATGGACATTCGAGCGGCGGCCTGTGCAGGGTCTTCTGTCTTTTGCTGGGGACGATGGATGAGTACGTCTGGGTCGGTTGGTACATCGGTATCTCCTTGAATATTTGAAGATGACGAGGAAGATGGGGTAAACCGAGTGGCTATCATGCCAGTCAAAGGCTTGAATATGCGCGCTGCGCCCATAAACTCGTTCATTTCTTTAACCCAGCCCTGGGTGTTCATGCCATATTTCTACAATTTGTTAGTTGGGATTGATATTAGAGAAGAGTAGGGGTTTTGAGCATACCCTATCTGGCAACCCCTCTCTCAGCCCTGCTTGCACTTCTAAGAATGCTCGGTATCGTGATCGCTTCTCGAGGTCGTCTGCGTATGGCATGAAACCTCCTTTGAGTGCGCCCAAGGCTTGGCTTTTATCAAGCTTAGGGACGAGGTCTGCCATAGACGACGATGAGCTTGAATACGTGGTGGGCGGTGCCTCGCCCAAGGCTGGCGGTAGGTTCTGATTTCCCGTAACACTGGCAAGCCTATCTCTCACGGCTGGAGTCAAGAAGTCGAAGACCGACTTTCCCGGCAATGGTGTCTCTCCTAGCAACTTCCCTCGTAGATGAGGGTCAAGCTTCTGCTCCAAACTCGGAGCAGCGGTGGGCTTGGTGCCCTGGGGTCCTGGGGTCTTCAAGCTAGCCGGTTTCCAATCTTTCGGAACTGTGGGTGGAGGGTACCACCCATCCTGTGTCTGGACTGGCTCTGTAGATAGGATAAAGCCTTCTAGAGGTAACCTCCCATCATGACATTTCAGTAAAGACATCGTAGCCTTTGATTTACCTACCCTCCTGGAAACAAAAACATGTCTAGCCGGCTTCTTCACAATCGCAGCCTTCTTCTTCTCGCCCCCGATCACGCGGTTATAGGCACTCTTCGGCCGAATTTCGTAGGGATCTTCCTCCTCGTCGCCATCATCGTTCAGGACCCCCACACCAAACCCACCACCCCTCCTCTTTTTCTCCTTCACAGCCGGACGCTCGATCTCTAGTTCTTTCCCTTGCTGTAGGCGTTCCTCGCCCACAAACCCCAGTCCTTTAGAATCATTCTTCCGTGTGAGCGTAACAATTGCACTATTTGTCGGTGCAAAAAAATAGGTCTTCCCGGTGTCGTCCACGGCATCATCAATCACAGCCTTCCTCCGGACCTTGGGGCCAATACCTTGCCCTTCCTTCCAGCCCATTTTCTTCAGAAGCTTGGCGCCCATCGTATCCTGCACAGCAGGCGTGAGAAGGTCCATTAGAGTAACCTGTCTAGCCCTCCGGCCGAGCTCCTCTTCCGTAGACCCAATCCCAGAAAACCCGGACGCCGTTTCGACAACCTGTGCTTCCGCGGCTTCCTTGAGATCTTCCTCATCCATGAAGTCTTCGGGCCGGGCTTGGGCAGCCTTCGCTCGTGCACCGCGGGAGGACTTGAACGTTGCGGGGGTCCATCCTGCCATTAATTAGTTTCTCCATCCCACAAATACCTCAATTACATCGGCAGAGCAGATAAACCTTCTTTAGACCCAACAGTATTGAAGTACCTACTCATCCACCATTAGCCCCAGATCACCCATAATCAAATCAAATCAACAGTAGTAGCACGGTACCCAGCACTAAAACCTCCAGTGAAAGCCCCGTGCAACCTCTTCCTCCCACGCTCATCTGTAACCTCCTGTTTCCAAACAGGAACGTAACTCCCATCATCCCTGGTCTCGGAATCCGACGCCGGCAGCGCAGTCCCGAACGCAACGAACGGAGCTGAGTTCGAATTGCTTCCTTCACCGCCATCAGCCTCGTATGCGGCTCGGGGCCTTTTACCGGACATGTAGTTCGAAGAGTTGCAGCAATATTGCACTTGTGTTAGGTTGAGTGGTTCCAAGAGAGATTCCCTGTGAGCGGGACAGACTAAATGACTAACGAGCCACGGCGCGGTCGGGGGGGGTTGGATGCAGAAGTTGGTATTGCGTTGTGCAGAGCGTGACTCAGATCAGGACTATTGGCATACGGTGGTCAGATTCTCGGCCGACCCGTTATGCAGTGGTGATCCCTGAATGATAAGCACTTACAGTCGGTTGGCCCTTGTGTCAGCTGAGTTTAGGTGGAGGAAAGCAGGAGATTTTGGGAGGAAGTAGGAATGTGTGGCTTTTTTTCGCGTAGTGCGCACTCCCGAGTGCCACGGATGGGCATGTGGCTCAGCCGCTAACGCATTTCCTCATGTGTGGCTGAGGCTGAGATGGCTTGCAAAAATCGCCTCGAAAGATATCATAATATTATCATACCAAACACCCTTGTTTAAAATATCATACTTCAAGTCAGTCAATAACAACAATCCCTGCCCCCCCCCCAGTCTAACAGTTACTGGTTTTCTTTTGCTGTTTTCTGAATTTTCTGGTACTATACATTCGTGTCTGAAAAGACTACATATCCCCTCCCCTTCAGATTAACATCAACTTTTCATACTATTTTTTTGAGTTTTAAGCTTTCGATTGGATATATTTGTAAAGAATAATCATAGTTAATTTATAATGTAATTTATATCTTTTTAAGAATATTAATATATATAATAGTTTTAAGTAATAAATAAATAATAAAATATTTAAGAAAAAGTAGTTAAGTGTTAGGAATACTGAGATCCAATACCTAGGAACCATCCTAAGTAGGGTAACCCCACTCGGAATTGGAATCTCTGGTCTCCAACACCCCCCTCTGGCCCCGTTATAGGGCCCACATATCATCACAAATATCAATCTCAGTTGTGTCCTGTGACTATAATGTCACAGAATTGAAGGTGTAAGAATAACAATGTATAAGTCACTGCAGTTATTTTTCTGACCAGATCTGGTTTGCAGAATATATGAGAGGGGACATTTGGCTAGGTCTGAGAAGTGGAACGGAGTAAATCCATCAACTACTCAGAAAGTTACAAAGGCTTCAAAGATGTGATGTCTTTGGTATGTGTCGTAGGTAATGGGATGTTTTCGCATGAAGAGATGGTTTCCAATGATAAAGGATCTCAACGAGAAATTAATACATTCACACCTACTCTACAATAATTAGAAGAGTTTAGAACTCCAAGAAACACTACCACAGAAGCCAATAGACTTCATGGAGTGTTACAACTGGGTCCAGGAATATGCCAAGGTTGCGAGAATAATTCCCAATACTAGAATAGCAATTGAAACCCTGTTATTCAGAGGAACCAAGAGTTGCGGACCGAGTTGTTATCTGTCAGCCCGGTAGAATAGCTTCCTGCAAATTAGTAGGAAGTCTTCTGAAAGATATCTGTTGGTTGAATATGGAGTTATGGAGGTTTGAAGTCAGGTGACCTAGAAAAGTTACAATTATGACTACTTTGCAGATACAATCTGCAGATTAAACTGATCATTTCATCAATGATGGAGACTATTGGGAACAACTCAGTTCAACTTGAGAACTAGGCCATAAGTCTAAAGACTGTAATGATTGGATAATTACTATTGGGAACAGTATGATTCCTAGTTAGCATTATTACAATTACTGCAGAGTATGTGGTGATTTTCAGGGTCTCCATATATTCGCACCTTTGAAGAATACCCAATATTGCGAGTTATAATCAGAGAGGTACATAGTTGTATAACAGATGAATATAGTCTGTGAACACTCAGATGTGGAATATAAATATTGAAGTGTCTCTCAAGCCTTTAGATATAATCAAGCAACGGAGAAGAGACCTTTACAATATAATATTGTCTTTACGATTCTATTCTACCTTACCTACTTTACTTCATTCTTAGTAGTTATAAACAAAACGAGTGAAATCTAAGCCTTCCTAGACAATCTCTGTCTACAGAAATGAATCTTGATTGGCCTAGACAACTCTGAAGTCTATTAGGTTGTCTTCGTCTAATATGAAGATTCTGTTTGATGTCTGACTTTTATAGCATAAAAGTAGCATTTATAGCATAAATTTTAGTATAATATTATTATAGTTTTTATATAGGAGGGTGTTCAGTAAAAGGTACTAAACAATGTTATATTATTATTTTATTCTATATTTATATTATAGGACTAAGTTTAAGATCAGGAGAACTAGTACATACTTTTATACTTTGAAATAGAATATTTTATGGAGATTCTTACTATTAGGTATATGGGAGTGCACAGACCCCTCAGTAGGGTAACTGTACATAGACTCTCATTTATTAAGAAGCCAACACTCCTCTTCAGCCTCGTTATAAGACTTATGTTTCTATACCTTAGTTGGATTAATACATAACTTTGCTTTAAATGTTACAAATTCAACTCATACTGTTGTTAAAGTTATTTTAAGTGATAAGGTATTGTCTACCAATACTATTTACAGCTTTTCAACTCCCTGAAAAATGCATGAGAGTTGCCAACAGTTATAAACCTGTCATAATTTATAAAGGATTTCATATGTTATGATTGATATTTGTACACATGATCTACTTAGGGATTATATGGAATAAGATTTTGATTAATGACTCATTTGAGTTGTATGATGTTATGATTCTTATTTGTATACATGACCTGTTTCAGGGTCATGTGGGTTTTATACATGACTTAGATTTTAAGTTATAGTCATTATTTTATATGGAAATTGCTAGTGGAATAGAAGAAAGCCTGATAGGGCCTACTTGAATTTTGCACACATGACCTGCTTGGGAGTCATAGAGGCTTTGCACATGACCTAGAAGAGGGACAAGGAATTAGGTAGTCATATCTAATACAGCGGTAATCCATAGGACTGTGGGATTGGTAAGTGGATTATGGGAAGATCTATATAGGGCGAGGAGTTTGGTCTTTAAGATAGATCTCCATTCTATCACCCACATCT